CAATCATGCCCTTTTCAATTTTTTCAATTTCATCCTTGCAACAATGACCCAGAGGAATTGCAGTTACTACCCCATTACCTTTCTAGATGGTAATGCTCATATATCTTTACTAACACAATGCATATTACTCAGTTCATTCAAATCAAAGTGATATCACTCTGGTGCATACATACATTCAGATTAGTGAAAGCACAAGCCAGCATTATCTCTGCCTGCTTCCAAGTTAAGCCGTAAAGTAAAGCCACTATGGGATTATTTGCAAGGTTACCTCATTGCCTGGGGTTACTCTTCCCTCCAGACTCTTGGTTAGCACTTTTACATAGGGACTCTACAGACCATGCCCTTCCCTGTAAAGCTCACAAACATACATAAAGTGCCTGGCCAATACTTGGAATGTGTACCTGCCTCCACAGGCCAAAATTGATTCCAAAATCTGGTATGTGCTTAGAACTTACAAAAAAATTTTTGACATTCTTTATTTTTGGAGTGCATAAGTATACATACAAGTAGTCTTTGAAATTTTAGCTGAAACATGTGAAATACTAATTAACTGAAGTTTCTTAAACTGTCATACTAGTTACTGCACTTTTATAATAAAACAAAACAGTTGAGTGTGAGTCAGTTGAGGATTAAAGGTAAGTATACAATTTACATTAATGGTTTCCTGACTACATAAGAGTGAATTATAAGTAAAATATATTCCTCAAGAGGTTCATTAACTGGGCACAAAACGCTGACTATGCTATACAAGTAGAGCAATTCAGATTAACACAAAACAAGAGTCTGCAGCTATGCGGTAGCTTATTTTATTAGGAGGCTCTCTGTCATATAAAGCTTCTCCATGAGGGCCGCCCACTCAGCCTATACCCACTGCGTCCAGGCAGAGTCCAAACTGGTGCAGAGTACATTGCGACACTCCCCAGGAAAAGTATTGCTCAACTTGCTTCCAGTCCCTGGCGGTAGCAAGAACCCTCTCCCAATGTCCACAGGTCCCTCTTCCCTCAACCAGGTTTAAGAACCGGAACACTGGGCAGTGAGGAGTCCCCCGGGTGCGCGAACAGAGGGAGGGCGCACAGACCTTACTCGGTCTCTGCCTGGGAGGGAGTCTCCACGGCAGAGCTCTGCGTCTTGGGAGCAGGGGGTGTACTTGGCTTGATCTGTGTCTGCAATTTGCTGAAAAATCGCTGGCAAATGGCGTCAAACACTCTCTGAAAGGCTGCTACCCATGTGCTTGTTGGCTTCTGTGTGTCCGTTTTCAAAAGGCCTCCGGATTCGTCCCGGAGACAGTGCAAAGGTAAATAAAAGCTTGCTTGGTAGGGACTGGGATAAACCCCACTGTCCCAAGGGGATGGGGGGGGGGGTACAAGGCTCTGGTGTCAACATAGCAGACCCATGAAGTCTTGGATGTGGAGACTTCTCTCACCAAATGCCCACACAAGGCCACGACAAGGCAGAGGGTACAACTATGCAGGTACAAGTGCGGTTGGACCTGGGATGAGCATGTACACTGCCCGGGAGGTAAGATTTTAACCCTTTCAGTCTGTAACTTTACCTATATTTATTTGCTAAATTTGTGAAGAACACTATTAAAATATAGATTAATTTGAACAAACACATTGCAACAGCTTGCCTGTGGACCTGAGGTCCCAGACTGATTTCTCACTAGGAACTAGTGATGTACCGAACGGTTCGCTGGCGAACGGTTCCTGGTGAACATAGCATGTTCGCGTTCGCCACGGCGGGCGAACATATGCGAGGTTCGACCCGCCCCCTATTCGTCATCATTGAGTAAACTTTGACCCTGTACCTCACAGTCAGCAGACACATTCCAGCCAATTAGCAGCACACCCTCCCTAGCAGACCCTCCCACCTCCAGGAAGGCATCCATTTTAGATTCATTCTCAAGCTGCATGCTTAGTAAGAGGAGGGAAAGTGTAGCTGCTGTTCATAAGATAGGGAAAAGCATAGCTAGGTTAGGGATAAGGGTATGCTTTTTTTAATTTTATTTTTCTATGTAATGTAAATGCACTTAGTTGTCTGCCACTGCTGCCAGCTTCTGTGTCAGGCTCACAGTGCATACTGTGCCCATTTCCCCAGTCAGTGCCACCAATTACATCTGGTGTCACAATAGCTTGGATTTAAAAACAAAAAACTTTTTTCACTGTTATAGATTGAATAGCAGTCAGTTGTCTGCCACTGCTGCCAGCTTCTGTGTCAGGCTCACAGTGCATACTGTGCGCCCATTGCCACCACTTAGATCTGGTGACACAAAGCTTGGATTTAAAAAAAAAAAAACTTTTTTCACTGTTATAGATTGAATAGCAGTCAGTTGTCTGCCACTGCTGCCAGCTTCTGTGTCAGGCTCACAGTGCATACTGTGCCCATTGCCACCACTTAAATCTGGTGACACAAAGCTTGGATTTAAAAAAACAAACACTTTTTTCACTGTTATATATTGAATAGCAGTCAGTGTCCTTAAAGCGGGTGTGTTACTTTAACAGTGGATACGCTGACCAGTGCCACCAATTAGATCTGGTGACACAAAGCTTGGATTTAAAAAAACAAAACACTTTTTTCACTGTTATAGATTGAATAGCAGTCAGTGTCCTTAAAGCTGGTGTGTTACGCTAACAGTGGATACGCTGACAAGTGCCACTAATTAGATCTGGTGTCACAATAGCTTGGATTTAAAAACAAAAAACTTTTTTTACTGTTATAGATTGAATAGCAGTCAGTGTCCTTAAAGCTGGTGTGTTACGCCAACAGTGGATACGCTGACAAGTGCCACTAATTAGATCTGGTGTCACAATAGTTTGGATTTAAAAACAAAAAACTTTTTTTACTGTTATAGATTGAATAGCAGTCAGTGTCCTTAAAGCGGGTGTGTTACGCTAACAGTGGATACGGTGACCAGTGCCACCACTTAGATCTGGTGACACAATAGCTTGGATTTAAAAACAAAAAACTTTTTTCACTGTTATAGATTGAAGAGCAGTCAGTGTCCTTAAAGCGGGTGTGTTACGCTAACAGTGGATACGGTGACCAGTGCCACCACTCAGATCTGGTGACACAAAGCTTGTATTTAAAAACAAAAAACACTTTTTTCACTGTTATAGATTGAATAGCAGTCAGTGTCCTTAAAGCGGGTGTGT